ATAAAATACCTGTAGTTCTTATGGGCTTGTGATATAAGTCCAGGCATACTAGTACCAGCTCTTCTATAGGCTTAAAAACTCTTTTATTTATTTTACTATAAACAAACTACAAAAGTTCAAGCTCTTTATGTTAATTATAATGAATGCTTAGGGTGAATGGTTCTATTTTCCAGGTTAACTGTTAACATTAATCAAAAGATTAATGTGTACATTTAATATAATCATCATCTTTAACATAAGCTCCATATACAAACATAAAAATAAAGCTGAATAAATCTAGCAAATCAGTTAAAATTTCAAATACAGTACAAACAGGAAGCTTTCCCATTTTCTGCACAGTTTCAGTATCCTGAAACCTCTTAGGAATAGCAAACTACATTTATTTTCTAGTTGGAGAAACAAATTATCTTCTAGTAGGTATTTATTGGATTAAACTCACATGTAAGTTGTTTGATTTGTGAATAATATTTACAATTATCCCATACTTTTGACTTTTTTCAAATGTCATTTGATAGTTTTTATCCAATTACTCTGCATAAACCCTACATATGCTTTGTCTCTGGCTCATATTCTTAAAACTGTTACATAGTTTGTATTATCAATTTAGTCTTCTATGAGAATAAAACAAACAAAAGTCCTCTCCCTCCAACAGCAGTGCTACTTCAAAGCAGGGTTGTTTGTTAAAATCAATATGGGAATCAGACGAGGGAAACATGGGCATAAGGCCCAGCTGAATTGTAAATGCCGCTGAATGGCTTCTAATATGACCAAAAGTAAGAATAAAGTTGACCCAGTATACTTCACAGGCCTCTTCAAGGCCTCTGTTCTCTGTAACTTCCCATTTCCACTGATGCAGTTGGAACCACCAAATCAGAATTTGCATGGGTAGGGCAAATTTCCAGATTTATCTGGGAAACAGCAGAGATGTTTTAAAAATGCAGTAGGATGCACCAGTATGAAGCATGTTCCCTGGATCCTGGTAATATTGTATGATACATGTTTATGCTACAAGCAATAGAACCTGGCATCTATAGCACCATCTCTCAACTGCACGAGTTGAAAAACTTCAGATTTTAAAACATAAGCAGATTTCCAGTCCTTATGCAAACTGCAATCTTCCTTGCCCTGCTTTGTGGACACATTACTAGAGGTGAGATTTTTTTAAGTGCCCCATAAATTGGAAGGAACCACGCAAGCCAAGTTATAAGACTGGAAGCCTTCAAACTGGCAGGAGGTAGAGCAGCACTTTCACCTTCACACCTGTCCCAAGCTCCTTTTTTGAGCCATTAGAAAAGTGACCTGATATACTGTGGGAGCCACAAGGACTCCTTTCAACTCACAAAGGTGCATAGGGGAACAAGTTCCAAGGGCAGCCCATATCAGAACTCATTCCCTCCCACTTGCACCTTTGCAAGTCGCAGAGAATCCTTGCAACTCCCGTGGTGCAGCTGTGTACTCTTCTATTGTATCAAAGAAGCAGCACAAGAATGGCAGGGATGTTGGACTGTTGTACCTCCTGCAGATTTAAGGGTTCCCAGTCCCATAATTTGACCTTGGGGGTTCTCACTAAATTTTGGAACTGGGAGTCCTTGAATTCCAACAATCCTGTCCCTATTTATTACTCTCTGTTATCTCGGAATCTCTATCCTTTCCATCCCAACTTCTCAGTTCTTTATTCAGCAGGGAGAATGAAATAAATTTAAGATTATTTTAGTAAAATCAGCACAATTTGTTAATTTTTAGGCATTAAGATTCATTTTCTTTTGTAGAAAACCTGTTTGGTGTACTGGAGAGTGAAGACTAGAGATTAATTCTGCATTCAGGCATGAAGCTAACTAGGTAACCTTAGCTTAGTCATATCATAGGATTGCTGTAATCAGAAAATGGGACACTCACCCTCATGTATAACTTCTGTACTGCACAGAAGTAACAGATCCCTCCAACCCTCATCTCTCAGTTGAAATTCTGGTGATTTTTAAAAAATATATTTGAATTTCCTAACTCTGACATAACTACCACATTTCCCCGAAAATATGACAAGATCATACATTATTTTTTGTGCCAAAATGCATTAGGGGTTATTTTCAGGGAATTTTTTTCCATGTACAACAATCTACATTTATTCAAATATAGTCATGTCATCTTCTGGTTGCTGCACAATGGTGGATGGTGGGGTTTCACTTAACTGGGGCTTATATTTGGAGTAGAGCTTATATTACGAGTACCTGAAAAATCATACTAGGGCTCATTTTCTGGTTAGGTCTTATTTTGGGGGGAACAGGGTATCAGTACAAGAGAAAAAAACTGACCTCTAGGCAACGTTCAGATGTGATAAGCTATGGCCCTTTACCACTGCCAGAGTGCTAGCTGTAGTCCAGTGTTGGTAACTATTAGAAGAAACTCAGAAGACATGCTGATCAGGAAGCTAGACAATTAATTTTATTATATTTCTAGAACAAGAAAAGGCAATCACAGGAAACTCTCAAATTCATCCAGATAAAACTAAGGCCAGTGCTACCTACTGACTAAACTCCAATATATTATCCATACACATTTCCAAAAAGTAAGTACTGTACAGTACATAATTTTTCTCACACAGAAGCAAACCCTTAGCCATTTCCCTTTATGTTCCCTGAGTGTTCTGGGTTTGGGAAACAGGCAAGAGGATATTTTTAGCTTGTAGAGGTGAAAATGGACTGGCGGGGAGGAGACACGATAAAACTCTTCAAATACCTGAAGGTCTGTTGCTCAGAAGAAAGCAAAGACTTGTATGTTGCTGCCCAAGATAGGACTAGTGCTAATAGTCTTATGTTACAGGTGGCTAGAACTGGTTGAACAAATACAAAACTCACTGACAGAACAGTTTAAGAACTGAATGAAGTTTGTAGAGAGGTGGTAGTTTTTCTCCTTTCCTCCCTCAACAAGGAGAGTTTTGAAAGCCATCTATTGGCAGTGCTTTTTCTATGGATTTTTAAAATTAAGTCCAGAGATAGAGTACTGCCAATTTGTACAATTAAGATAAGTTGGCCTACAAACCCAACTTCATAATTTATGTTATTTAATATGGGCAATATTTATCCTTGGCCCTACTAGTCACATCACACATCTCTTTAGCGGTGCAGATAAAGTTAAGACTGGGGTTGGATCCCTGAACCCAACAACCCACGAAGCTCCAGAGATGAGCAGGTGATTGGGGGGGAGGCAGCAGCAAGCAAGTCCTGCATCAGCACCTTGGACATATCATAGCCCGTTAGAGTTGATACTGTTCACCGCAGAGTTCTTTAATCTTTAAAATATTTTAATTAGGGAGGTGGCATCAATGGACATTCATATGGACATTAATTGTACTATCTTTACTTTAAAATATACAATCCTATTCTGTTTTACAATAGGGCTTCTATTTATTTCAATTAAATATATTTAATATATTCGCAAAGGCTTTCACAGCCGGGATCTAATGGTTGTTCTGGGTTTTTCGGGCTCTTTGGCCATGTTCTGAAGTTTGTTCTTCCTAATGTTTCGCCAGTCTCTGTGGCCGGCATCTTCAGAGCACAGGTTGCTGTCCTCTGAAGATGCCGGCCACAGAGACTGGCGAAACGTTAGGAAGAACAACCTTCAGAACACGGCCAAAGAGCCGAAAAACCCAGAACAACCATTAAATATATTTAGCATAATACTGCAAAATAAAACTCCACTTTACTCCTGTAGACATGATGGTGCTGGTTTCCTTAAGTTTAATATGCAAAATTACACATGAGCATTTATTTTTTTAATTAGGTTTAACCAACAGAGCTTCTTTTTTGTTGGGGCTGTATTGGCAGGTAAAAAGTAGATTTCTACCGGTAAATTTCCTAGTGATTTGTGGCAGGGGCAGCATTTTCTGCTCTCAACACCACTACATTTATTGCAGTTAGAGTGACCACACTTCTAGAAATTTTTATCCATCTGTTTGCTCTGTCTTACCTATCTGACAGCACTTTCACTTAACGCTTGAAGTACTGCATCAAAGTGCAGTGGCCACAGTGCAGCCTTCAAAATGTTACAGATCTGCAACTTGAAACATGCCTCACCACTGACTACAGGTGATGATAGTTACAGCCCTATATCTGGAGAGTTATTTCTTGCCCACTTCATACTATACTAGTTTGACCAGAGATCAAAATAGAACAGAGAAGTGTATGGCCTAAAATCTAATTCACTCTTGACTAAAGTCACCTGATATTAAATCAACTGAAATTAGATTAGTGTTGACATACTGGTTCAATAGGTCTACCCTAGTTAGAAGTAACCATTGAATTTAGGTCCCTGTATTTACCACAAACAATGGAAAAAAAACAATGTCACCTTTACATTGTTGATAAAACCAATTACTGCCCTTCGTACATACCTGAAATACATTACAGTGGTGCCTCGCAAGACGATGTTAATTCGTTCTGCGAAAATCGCTGTTTTGCGAAAACATTGTCTTGCGAAATGCGGTTCCTCATTGGTATGCACTGAAATCTATTTAATGCATTCCAATGGGAAAAATAATCGTCGCGAAAATTGCCCATAGGAAAACTGTTTTGCGAAGGGCGGATCAGCTGTCAACATTGTTGTCTTGCAAAGAACGGTCCCCAAAAAAACCGTCTTGCGAAGCACGGACTGAAACACCGTCTAGCGAAAATCGCCCATAGGGAAAACCGTTTTGGAAAGTGCTATAGCGATTGCAAAAACTCATAGTTTAATGAATAAACCGTTTTGCGAGGTAATCGTCGAGCGAGGCACCACTGTATATGCCTTAGAAAGTCAGAAATCCTCCCTCATCAAGACATCAGACTTCAGTGGACAGAGTAACAGACTAGGACTCACGAGGCCTAGGTTTGAATCCCTGCTCAGCCACAGAAACTGGGGGTGTGGAACTGGTAAAACCATTCTTTTAAATATCTCACTTACCTTGAAAGTCCTGTTAGGGTTGCTGTAAGTTGGTTTTAACTTGAAGGCACAAAACAACAAACATATGATTATCATAATGTTCAATTTATATTAGAGTAACTATAGATGATACAGAATATACAAGTGCCCCAAAACACACTTAGTTCCAGCATATCCCAAGTTTAGGATAGCCAGTACAGTAGTAAAATCTCTGAAAATACACTCATATTTTATGACATAGTTTGGACAGAGATCAAGTGTATACAGTGGCCAAGCACAAATAAAACCTGCCCAAAGCTAGCAGCCCCTCACAGCAAACTCTCAAGACACTTTATTAAAGCCATATTCACAATAGCCAAAGGGAGCGAAGAACATGCAACATATTGCTACTAGAACAGTAAATGCCTGAGAAAAGAGACAGTGCAGACAAACCAGGCTAGTTTCTGTTCCACTTTCAGTAGAAATTGACTTTTTCAAGATTGCATAAAGCAGTTAAGTGTATCTTTCCTTTATGCATCTCTAACCAGAGAGTTTCCAACACTAAGCAGAGAGAACAGATGTCAGACATGGGCCTTCTCTCAGGGCAGGGGAGGGATGCAAAGCTAGTACAGTATAAGATATCAGTTCTGTTGGCCCTCACCTAATCTACTACAGTATAAGCCTGCATTGTGAGCCTCTATCACAGAGGAGGGCTGTATCATGTCTAACATGCAGCCTTGATGCTAATGAGTTAGTCACACAGGATGACTGTGATCTCACTACAATGGGTATATAAAAATGTAGAAAACCCACAAGAGTGTAGGCAACCCGCACCTGCTGCCTCTTCAGCTACTTGTAAGAGCCTTCTCCTATGCTGTGCATACAGGAAATGCCAAATGCTATTAGGCCACACTATGTATCATCTAATTGTTTCAAATAAATACAGAAACAATTCATCTCACAAGAATTTGGCCACATGGGAAGAGAAAAACCTGTAGCATGATCAACAGTGTGTAATTACAATTTCCATTTGCAGGAACCTTTACCAGTGTTTAAAGCAGTATTGTTCAGTCTTTGCCTGCAGCTCATGCCTAAAGGTCAGATCTTCAACTGGTATGATGTGGCAGTACTCAGACTGTTAGACAGATTTCTACTAGCTGAGGATCTCAGAACAAATCTTTTAAAGTGGTAAGCAAATTATAACATAAAAGAAGGAATAAGGCGTGTATACAAAATGGAAGATTCATGTATCTAACTAGCGCATGCATTCAGTGTTGATAGAATTCCTCAAAGTTGCATGTTTGCATTTTCAGTTACTTTAGTGAAAGGATTGATGTCCTGTAGTGAGCAATCATAGAACACACTAACCTGCAAGAAACTACAGTTTAGGCTTTCACAGTTATGGAATACTTTGTGGTCAGAAACTGGATTTAAATGGGCTTTTTCAAATAATGAAAGATCATTCTAAACGGAACTCCAGTGGAAGCGTAAGGGAAAACTCCTGTCTATTGCTCTGGCATTTTTCTTATTGGCTTTCCTATGTCAAAAGGAACTCAGACATGTTACAGTATGGAAAAGACTGTTTGTGTCAGTGTTCGTAACTTCATTGCAGAGTTATATAAGTATGATGCAGAAGCAATGGCAATAATTATAACTAGGGAAGAAGAGCAAAGTTTACAAAAAGTACAAAGTGGGGTCTGCTTAAAATAGAGGTCCCACACTTTAAGAAGCACCATAACATTTCTCCTTCAGCAAAAGATTCTCTTCCATCATGGAAAGGAGTAGAGGATAGTAGGAGAAAGACCAAAACCAGACAAGATCTGATGTGAAAAGTTTAATTCATCAGAGAAAGAACTCATACCCCCTTCCTGCTACAGAACCTCACTCCTGAATAGTTATTTTTCCCCACCCAAAACTAGTTATAAGGAAGCACAGAGATGTAAGAATGGGAGGGGATTTCTTTTTTATCTACTCAGGTTTCAAAAAATGGGCAATAAGAAGGGTTCAGGGAAAACTGGGGTTTAGGCTCCAGCCCTTTCTTTGTATCAATCGCATGATGAGTAAAAGGAAGAAAAAAGTGACAGGGAGACAGACCTCCTGAATTACCTGATTTGTTTGTACAACAGATTAAACTGTATCTATGATGTAAGAGGAACAGGAAAATAGATGAATTTAATACTGTCTTGAACTTGCACTTTGGTGGTCCCATCATCTGACAGGTAGGGAGCCTTTAAAACTCCCATGTTCACTTGAGAGCATGGGATGCCTCAGGACTCCATCAAATGTTCCATACAATTCTATTGCCAGCTGTCTCTTGCCATGGTGGAGTTTAAAAGGATTTTGGCAGGTTGCAACAACCATATGGAGGGCTCAGCTGCTGCTGCTGCTGCTACCAGTAGATTGATGTGCCAGAATTAGGGTCACTAACCACAGTACATTCTTACCAATGGAACAGAATTCCACAGAATTCCAACTCACCTCAGCATGTTTTTCAACCAGAAAATGAATGCCCTAAACTTTTCAAGCCATAGTGCTTAAACCAGTTGTTCTAGAAACAGAAAATTTTCTCTAGGTTTGCATACTGAAACAAACAAACCACACACAACCACTAGCCATACTGCATCTAAAGGTAAAACAAAAACTCAGGAAAGTACATGTCTAGGATTTTCATCTAGGGAGTGACAAAAATATTCTACTGGTGCTATTTCTATGTAGTAAAAGGTTTGCCTTCCATATATGTTTAAGACATGGTGAAGGAACACAGAGGGCAACAACTGGTGCATTCTGGCAACAGCACTTGTGGCTCAATGTGAACACAGTGTTATCTATGTATGACCAGAGGAAACTGCTGGCTTCCAAAGGGGGGGGGGTTGGGGGACAGGCTTTTGCCATTTATTGGTAAACTAGCCCCCAGTAGGCAAACAATGTGTTAAACTTTAATCCTGTCGAGTTAAAGAAAAGCAGAAAGATATTCAGCACATTCTTACTCTAGAATGCAAAAGAAAGAAATGCAACACAATTCTTCCTACCTTCCAGTGTATCCAAAGATAAAAAACACCGCTTTTTTGCTTTGACTTTTCTGCTAAGAAAGGTATTAATATTTCTGCTTTTCTTATGGCTACACTGTACAAGGTGTACTTACTCTAAAATGTGCCTAAGCGCCTCAGATCCTGTGACACTAATGTCTATGGACTCTCTACGCTCTTATATTTCTGCCCACTTTTTCCCCATTATAATCTGGTCAAAAAGGAAAATAGTAAGACACGTCCTAAGACTGATGACTAGAGTTTCTATGTACAGTACAGTTATATACATCTATTAAAAAATGGAAGAAGAGTTTTGCTGGAACAGTGTACAGTCTCTATGTTTAGGACCACAAGAGGATTTCGTGTTTCAGTTGAAGAAAGACATTCCATAACAGTCACAGAGGAAGCCAGTATGACTCTTAGACAGCAGCAAAGATGGCAGAGAAGACATATTTCCTGCCTTGCTGTGAAATGGGATGAACGCATAGGCAAGACAAGGCACTCTTTGTTCTTGGTGGGGGAAGAAGAGCCTTCAGGAGAGAAGGGGAAGGTTCCTTATTGCTTATCGACAGCAACAGCTCCTTGTTCAGCAGAGCTTTCCTTGTTGGTGGTCTGTGCATGCCAAGGGGTTTCTTTAAAAACAAACCAGCAGTTTCCAGCCCACAGTATAAAGTTGACAAAACCGAACAGCTAAGGGAAAACAAAAGAAAGAGGTGCATGGTCACATATCCACTAATTTTCAATCTATATTTATCTACAGTGATGATTTTCACCCTATTTGTAACTTCAAAGACTAATGCTATTCTAAAATCATTTGATTAAGTGCCTTGCCCACTTGTCTATTCTCCATTGGTTGAAGTATATAGTTAGGTCATCATTAAATAAGTAGTATTATATAGATGAGTGGACCTGCTGTATTTATTAGTGCAAAAGCTCTAAACCAAGACTGGGCATCTCTGATAGAGGCATGGCCAATTTCACCCCACCCCCTGCTCGGAAATCACCACGGGCCATGCACACTCTACTGCAAGTTGTGTGAATTACCTCTAAATTGTTTGGGGCCAGGTTATTTGAAGATCTATAAACCAGTATGAAATTACTGGTGCTTTGAGACCATCACTGGAGATCCTGCTAAGATTCATATAGTGGCTACTGCTCTAAGGAATCACCTCATTGGCACTGTCAGTTTTTAATATTCAGAATAGTTTCATAGAATCACAGAATATTTGAGTTGGAAGGAGCCTATAAGGTCATGAAGTCTAACCTCCTGCTCAAGCTGTTCAGACATATGGTTATCCAATGTTCTCTTGAATGCCGCCTCCTCTTGGACCAATCCCTGATGTAATTGGCTCCACTGTCATACTGCTCTAACAGTTACGTTGTTTTTCCTGATATTCAGCCTAAATCCGATTTCCTGTAACTTGAGCCCATGATTACGTCCTGGAGTCTGGGATGATTCAGAACAGGTCCTTCTCTTCCTCTCTAAGACAGTCTTTCAAGTATTTGAAAAATTCTATCATATCTCCCCTCAGTCTTCTTTTCTCATGGCTAAACATGCCCAGTTCTTTCAGCCTTTCCTCAGAGCTTGATTTCCAGCTCCTGATCACCCATGTTGCTCTCCTCTGAACTTGTTCCAGCTTGTTGGCATCCTTCTTAAAGTGCAGTTTCTAGAACTGGATACAATACTCTATATGAGACCTAATCAGTGCTGAATAGAGGGGAACTAGTACCTAACAGGATTTGGAGACTATGTTTCTATTAATGCTGACTAAAATAGCATTGGCCTTTTTTTGCAACCACACTGCACTGTTAGCTCATATTCAGCTTGTGCTCTAACAATTCCGAGATCCTTTTCAATCATAGTATTACTGAGTCAAGTATCCCCATCTTGTAACTATGTATTTGGATTTTTCCCCTAGGTGTAGAACTTTGCACTTATTCCTGTTAAATTTAATTCTGTTGTTTTCAGCCCAGTCCTCGAGCACATCAAGATCTTTTTGAATTGTGTTCCTGTCTTCCATGATATTAGCTATTCCACCCAATTCTGTAGCATCTGAAAATTTGATAAATATTCCCAGCACTCCCTCATCCAAGTAATTAATGAAAATGTTGAAAAGCACAGGGCCCAGGACTAAGCCCTCGGTACTCCACTTGTTATCTCCTCCCAGTTTGAGAAGGAGCCACTGATAATCACTCTCCAAGGTGGATGTCATGCTGATTGGTCTCTGGTTCCCTGGTTCCTCCTTTTTGTCCTTTTTGAAGACAGGGACAACATTAGTCATTCTCCAGTCATCTGGTACTTCACCCATCCTCCATGATTTCAAGAACTTATTTGTTCTGAAAGCTTTTGACTGACCCTTTTTATTTAAAAAAATCAATATACTCCTGTTTTATTGCTGTGGCTCTGGAAATCTTTTTGTACTCGGTCATGTATATTTTAAATGTATTTGTTTTCTATATTTCATAATATAAAAAGAGATTTTAAAGTGTAAATTTTAACTACACCATTGTAATATCATAGCCACGTCATTATGTATATTTGCTTACATCCTATCCAAGACAGTAGCCTATAGATATTTAAAATGGAGAAAACCTTTTTCTTATAAATTTGTCACACAGCCACCAATCTTTTAAAAGATAGAAAATGGAGTGTGGTCATTTATATATAAATAAGTGTTCTCCACTGGTGAATGGAGAAAAACAGAAACGCCTACTCCCACCAAAATCTACCTGTATCACATGATCGAGTCAGGAGGTGAGGCTGAGGAGCTTGACGCCGAGGGAGTCTCAGAAGGAAAAACAAGAAACCGGGCCTTCTCAACGGTAGCTCCTCGCCTCTGGAATAACCTTCCTCTGGAGATTTGTGCTGCCTCTTCACTGGGCATCTTTAAAAACCAACTGAAAACTTGGATGTTTGTGCAGGCCTTCCCTCCAGCTAATGCTTGATTTTCTTTCCTTTTCCTTTTTTATATTTTCTCTTTTTCCCTTCTTTCATCTTGATTAACTTCTTTATTGATGTTTAAACTTCGTTGTATTTTATATATAGTTATTTATGTTGGTAGCCGCCTAGAGTGGTCGTTTGACCAGACAGACGGACGGACGGACAGACGGACGGACGGACGGACGGAAATAAAGACAGACAGACAGACAGACAGACAGACAGACAGACTCACATGGGAAATATAGATACAAACTGCACTTTTAAAAAGTTAATATTCAGGTAGCTTTCTGTTGTTAGCATGTATCAATTGTAAGAAGCATACCCTGCAGACGTCTGAAAAGATGACAATGTCTGCATTCAAATAAAAAGACCTTGGAAGAGTAACTTATGGACTACACATCCAGAATCCCTCCTGTGAGCACAATCACATCATATGGCCTAGAGGATATGGGAAGTTGTCACCCAAAAATTATTTTTCCAAGTTCTGTTTTAGATTTTCTCACTCTTCCTGCAGAGCTCTCTGACAATTAAAAGCCATATGTTTAACTGACTGAACTCTATAGTCATGGAAACTATAACACATCTGGCCTGTTGAGGTTGAAGCTGTTTTTTGCTCCCCAAAACTACATAATCTTGCACCCAGGATTTTAGTAGGACTATAATTCTTACCACAGAGATATTGGCCAGACCCATAGATGGAGTGGCCCCTGCATTGCACACCGCAGTTTTGAGCTGACACACCGACATGGCAGCAATGAGACTGGAAGGCCGGGTAGCTCCTTTCACATCTGACAGACCTTTGCCCCAAGCTGAAAATGCCACGAGCCAGAAAAAGGTAAATGAGACAGTCACACAGAAATCCTGCAGAGAGAAAAAGCAGATAAGAACATAGTAGCTTCATTCCAAAGCACAACTGTTCTCTAATCTGACCAAAGTAAGAAGCACTGAAAGGAAAATATTCATGTCCAGTTTACCAAAGCTACCACCCGTCTCACAGTTCTTTAAAGAGTTGCTTAATAAGAGTTCCAAGATACTCAATATAATTTACCCTGTTTTCCCGACAATAAGACAGGGTCTTAGATTAATTTTTGTATTAGGGCTTATTTTCAGGGGATGCTTTATTTTTTTCATGTACAATCTATGTTTATTCAAATATAGTCACTTCTTCTTCTTCTGGTTGCTGCACAATGGTGGAGGGCAGGTTTTCACTTAACTAGGTCTTATTTTTGGGGTTGGGCTTATATTACAAGAATCCTGAAAAACCATACTAGGGCTTATTTTCAGGTTAGGTCTTATTTTCAGGGAAACAGGGTAGCAAACCCGAAATACTGTTGAAGGACCTAAATAAGATACATGACCACCCCAGTTCAAGTGGTTGCACATGTCCTTAAAAAGAAAAGTCTAATGATGCTTAAATTTCAGCACAGATAATTTCAAAGTTTCAGCTAGCTTTTGCTACTTAATTCAAAATGCTCTTCATCGTTAAAAATGAAGCCTGGAGATTTAACCCTAGATGATGTGACCAAGAGGAATGTCCTGTACAATTAACAATTGAGTAGAAGGATGGATTTCTACAGGCACTGCCTTTCATATCATAATGGTGCTGGGCAAGGTTTCAGACACAGCCCAGATTTGCCCAAAACATAGCTTGGAGTGTGAACCTACCTTCATTGTGAAAATAACTTAACGATAAATGGAATATAAAGAAGAGTGCATCATTTGGTTATCCATTTGCTTCTAATCCCAGAGACACAGTCTAATTCTGGACATCTTTACTCAGAAGTCAGTCTAAGTATTTTTAGTAAAGCTTTTTCTGAGGGTAATTACATACAGTTTGCAATCCTACATACTGGTTCTTTGTTTCAGGGTCGAAACACCAAACATCAAGAGAACCAAAATGAGGTCTTACTGCAAAAGGTAGCTTCTTATTCTCTTTGTAGAGGGAGTGGAATCGTAGATAGACTGCAAGTGCTGCCATGGTATAAAGGAACGAAAAAACACCCAAGGTCACAAAGAACTCTGCAGGTGCTGAGAAATCTCCCATGAGATGTAGTACTCTTTTAGCAGTAGATCCTTCAATACAGTCTGGCATCTCAAATGGAACCTTATACAACCTGTTCAAATTGATAAGTAGAGAGAAAGAAACAAAATGTTTAGTACAGCAGAAATCAGTGGTGAGCAAGCTCCAGGTGGGAGTTTGAAGGGCCAACCATTTGCTCCCCAGGACCCACTATGGGCTTCATCACCAGTCAAACCCTCCCATGAAACAAAAATTGGATGACGGTACGCTTCAATTTTTGTCAAACGTCTCTTTGGAGGGCAAAACATAACATATACTGTAGGTATTTGTATCCTGTTCTTGAAGGGTTTCCAGAACTGGGGAAAAATGTTTAGGAGAGGCTACAAATGCAGGAGCACATGTGACCTGCAAGTTTCTCAAGGTGGTTTCATTATCTGGTGTAAAGGAATTGGGCCAGAAGACACATTTGATCAGAATAGAGACAAACAATAGGTTTTCAAGCAAGCTCTGAAAATGGTATGAGCAGGGTATCACCTCTTGGAGTGTGAGCATACATTTATTTTGTTCCAATACAGCCTCAGGCCAGACAGATTTTGCATGTTCTAAAGCCTGTGTATCACAGAAATAAGTTTATACATACAAAGCAGCAACTCTCTTCTTTGTACAGCCTTAACTCTGGGAAGGAGAAGGGATCCAAACAACAAAAAGTCTGTCTTTCCTTTTTTGATGGACTTGCGCTACTTTTTCCACACACACACACAAAAGAAAACTCATTCTAAGTCTATACTTATTCCCATCAATATATTTAACTCACACTTTAGAGACAGGCCAAGTATTTTCTATCCAACCTGCTATGACAGAACAAAACAGCTTTCTTGTAAAGGCTAACCCTCTTTGGCACTGGTACAGTTTTCAAGATTTGCATGTGTAGAATGAATGCTTTTATGCAATCTACATGAGCCTTTTCCTCAATACAGGCAGATAGTGCTTTTCTGTTTTCAGAATATTTTCAGTTCTGGATTACAGGCTACATTTATATAAGAGTCACTGCCTCAGTATTTGACTAGCTTTCCAGTACCAAGATTAACAGGTGGAAACATTGGCTGTGGTAGATATAACCATTATAACTACTTACTGGTGTGTTTGTATAGAAAGATAAGCCAGATTTCTGGTGAGCACACAACCATTTCGCTGCTAGGTAGCTACTTTTACTAACATGGGAAGCTTAGCTAACCAAAACTCAAAGGTTTACCATGTGATCTCCATCCTGAATACTGGTGTATTGCTCTCAAACAAGCCAGGATTCATAAGCCAAGACAAATGCTGATTGACAGTCCTGGCTTTCAAAAGGTGTGAAAATCCAGTATTCTAGATGTGAAAATTATGGTTTCATATTTTGGTTAGTTTAGTTCCTCAGTCTAAGAGGAGCAAATTCTTTTATAGTAAGCCGGGATTTACAAGAAGCATAGTTTAGCATTCTATGCTTAAATGGCATTGAGTCTGCTCAAGTGAGTATCGTTTAGTAGGACCACTATTTCTATTTGACACTCCCAGCTTCCCAAAGCAATTACTATGCTGATGTATCGAATTGCATCTCTCCCATTATGGAGAAGCTTGGCTTTGTTGCACCAGGGCTGTCTGAATCTATAACATAAGTGTATGTATTACTCTGCAAACAGATCATATATATCAGAGGAAGTATAGAAACTGAAGAACTATTAACTGTATGGGTTTATTTTTTTAGTCACTAAAATGAACTATCATAGTTTTCCATTCAGCTGCTATCAAGTTGTATAACACCAGTGGTTCTTTACATATAAATAGCCTTCAGCCTCTTCCCACCAGTGCCATTTGAAGCAGGCTAGTATTGCAGTCAGAAGCTTGGTGAGCTTGAGCCTCCAGCAGCAACTTCCAACACCTGATCGAGGATTTGCTGACATTAAAAGTAGACGGTTTCCCTCCTACTGCAGTCTATGAAGACAATGAGTGCCAGATCACATCCTTTGTAAGTTATGTGAAACTATACCACTGCTTTTAATAAACCAGAAGCCACAGAAGCCAGTGGAGGATTTAGCAGAAAAATTAAAAAGGCAGTTACACTTACACTGAAAAATACTAACTTAATGCATAGCTGAGAACAGTTAAAATACTTCCACTTCAATCTTATCTTGTGAGATAGTAAAACTTTTTGAAAAGTTAAAAATAAAATGTTCTTATGTTCATCAGTTACACTTTGAGGCAAAAATCTAAAGACTTGTCCAAATCGTAATTCAAAGATTAAGACTAGACTACTCAAGAGTTTCCTGTAATGAAGGCATGACCAAGAAGGAAGACATTTATATCCCCCACAAGCTGGAAGTGTTTTATGATGTATCAGCCCACACATTTATTTGCCATGCCTTCCCACAATCTGGAGGTTAAGCAGAAAGAGGGTCAAAAGGATGACAGCAAAGACCTCCTCCAACTCAAGAGCTTCTCACAACCCATAAAGAATTCATTACTTCAAATGAATCTTCGTCAGCTATCTCGTTCTATGCTGCCACTGCCAACACCATAACTACCCCTCCCAATTTGTTCTCCTTCTTGTCAAAGGCATTTCAATAGACTTCACAGACATGCCTCTATTTATAGCTATCAGATGTTGGCAGGGAGGCAAAGATGCACAGAGATATAACCATGTTCATATCTTTCATGCACGGAGGATAGTATTGATTTCATTCTAAGTTTGGTCTCATTTCCACTCATCCAACAAGTCTTGTGGTAGTTCACCAACATAAAATCCTTTGTTGTATTCTTGATAATTTATCTGCATGCAAAAAAAGACTAAGAAATACCACAAATGACCTAATCCAGTCTCTTAGTTTGGGCAGTAGTAGATGCAGAGAGCTGCAAACATTCACTGCAGTATATTAACTACTAAGCCTCACCAGAACCGGGTCACTCAAATGTAAACTAAGGGAAAGCATGTACAGTGAAAAAAACAATCAAATGCATTAGACTTGTTTATATTCCCTCAATAGATGACAGACCTGTCATCAGCTGCTGCTTTTACGTTTGCAATGAAGGGTGTTTCCTTTCCTGTACCAAAAGCAAGTGAAAGCTTTCAGAATTCACAGGTAAATCAGTGGCCAAAAATTCAAAGGTAAATCAGTGGCCAGAAACTACCCCAATCATAATCTGGTACTGTAGCATTGCTCTGCAAGTGCTTAGATAGTATGGAATGGACATGGCAATTGATGCAGAGTTTTTGTGCTATAATTGTAGTTTTGGATCAGTTTAGACAGCCTCCAGTCTGCTATTTTGCTTAGTAGTTAGCAGTACAGAGATTTCCTTCAGTTATAGTTTTAACAACATTATAATGTCATTCTTGACCTACCTTTCTACCCAAAATGAGCCCCCACTCCACATATAATTTAAAATACAATATAATGCATTTAAATCAGAAGGAGATGGGAATCAATCTCAGATCAAACACTTCCTGTAAAACAGACTTCTAAGGCAGACACAAGAAATGTTGAGGCATTGATAAGAAAAGTATTTCAGTTTACTACAGAATCCTCATTTGCTCAGGTTGCCTTTAGAAATACTGATGTAGCAAAGGTGTGTGCAACCAAGATGCTCTGATTCCTTGTCCATTTTATACAGCCCTGCTGGAGAAAGTGGTCCTTTTGTTAAAGGGCTCCAAGAGGGAAGAAATACCTGGGCCAGACGGTAGTTCTGATGTCTCAGGAGAAAGAAGACTTATTGACAGTAACCAAAACAGAATTGAAAAAAAATCTGCCCCATAGGAAACCACGGGAAGCTTAAACAGATAATAGATTTCTAGGTACTGTAGTCATAATGGCAAAGCAAAAAGATTTGGATCAGCAGAGTTCACCCATGAGGTTCTCTGTAGATCACCAAAAAAGTCATGTTGATGTCTTAACAACTCATTGTGCAGTGCAATAAAATAATTTTTTACCAAGATTCCTCTGTATACTGTTTTTGGAAGGTGTATCTTCATTGCTAACATATCTAATAACAGATTTCATACACACACAAACATTTTCCAGAAGAGGGAATATGAACTAAAGAAACGCGTGGAAGCCTCAGCTGCAATGTCTAGAGTGAACTGCAGCTGAACTGTGGTTATCAAAAAGATTGCCTTTCCTCCTATATACCACTCTAACCAGTTTGTTTCTGTTGTGTTGTGTACCCTCTTGACTACAACATCTCTTTGCTTCAACAATATTTACTTAGCCCCTCAAAGCCAAGGTGTCAAAAAAGTTAACAACTTCCTTTGTCTGGTTATCTTAATGGCCTATTTAAAAAGAGACTACATTTCTTCTTTGAACTGGGAAGGAACAGATATGATGTGTGCTGTAATCACATGTATTCTGTACATGTTTGACAAAAGATTGCTTCTGTGGACATACTGGTCTACAAATATGATATGGTTTAAATACGATTCATTTTATGGTAGATATATGCTTGCATCAGTTGAATTGTACATTCCTGAACTTTCTTTGTGCTGAGAGACAAGTGAATGATCCAAAGATCCATATAACTACTAGCATGCACCCAGGGCCTTTGAACTCTTGCTCCCTGATCATCAGCTATCTATGATACATGGCAAACCTCACCTGAATCAGGTTAGGGTAATATCTTAGTAATATCTTAGTAATATCAAAGGAAGCAAGGAAAAACTGTTAAACATGTTGGATTTCTCTAACACAGTTAAATGAGTGTTCTGGATCTAAATACAAAGAAGACTCTAGCAGTCAATCCAGTACATAGTATATCTTTTTCAGCCCAAATCTAATATGGTTTGAGCCATCAGTAAATATTTTAAGGCGATCCTACAGGAATGAATGAATGAATGAATGAATGAATGAATGAATGAATGAATGAATGAATGAATGAAATGTCTTGCAAAATAGCCCACAAGGTGAAGAAATACAAAATATTGAAAAAGGTTTCATTTCAACAAATTTTAAACAAAACCTTGCTGAAAAGAGGTTCACTAATAAAATTACAGGCCACTTTTCCCCCTAAATCAGAAAAATGTGAGCTGCAAAGTCCAGTTTTACATGTTATCTCCTAAATTAGCACTCTAAGACTCCCTTTACCTGAAAGGATATCCAAACTGCACAGTGATAGCAGTCGTCTCTTTAGGGTCCGCATTGCATTTCACAGTAGCCCCTGTTTCTGCACTGAAAGAACCACAGGCTCCAAAGGCAAAAATGGCAAATAGCTAGAGAAAAAAGCAAAGGAGTTTAGGACCAAACGTGTTCTACTTGGTAACAAGCAGGGGCACAGACACTCCATGCAAGACAACGTATCTGCCTTCACCAACTGCTATGAATTATCAAAGGTCTGAGACACCACACACAGCTGCTCAGATTTAGCCTGTGGATCAAAACAGTCCAGTGTCATCTCAATAGGATCAGCCTGCATGCAAGCCATATCATGTCATAATGCACATCCCATGTGCAAATCTGACAACTTAAAAAGCACAACAACCGGAGAGAAACGTGTTTTCCTATGCCCAGTATTTTTATTGAAAGGCCCACAAAAGAATGAAAAATAAGAGAATTTTGCCACCCAGTTTTTTCTGGATATGAAAGCTAGCTTCTTCAAATAGTCTCCAGAAACCTTCTCTAGTGCTATCACAAAAAGCTTTGAAAAGAAGCAAGCTGGAATGGCTGCCTCCTTGCAGAAAAACAGGTGGTGCTAGAACTTTTAGATGTGCAACTAGTGGTTAAAAGCACACACACTTGGGGTTCATTTTGATTCCATGTTAAGACAACTGAAAGAGGTCAATCAGTATCAAACATAGGAAGTGATTTGGTTTAAGATTATTACTAACTACAGAGCATAAAATAATTGTTCCAGTCATCTCAGAAGCTTTTAGTCTCCATTCCAATGGCTCAAAACTACAGAAGATCAGCCCAAGAAGAATTACAGCATCACAAGCAAATGAGCAAGTCTGATAGTCTCTCTCACATGCATCTATTCCAGTTTAACATATCATTCTGATCAAGAGCTAACCGTGCTTTTAAATCAGCAAAGCCCAGCAAAAATTGCAGGAGTTTAAAAAAAAAAGAGGTACATAAAAGTAAATGATGGTGATGGCAGATATCCAAAACTGAGTTTCTGTCAAGTCTCCCTATGATACATTTCACCACTACTATACAAATGCTGAGTTGCCTGATACATGAGAAAACATGAATGAGTTTGACGATCACAAAGTTAACGATAAATGAGAAAATGAGACAGAAAGATTTGGCTTTAAAACTGTTCTAAATCAAGCCGTGTCTCTTCAAAAGAGGCATCAGATACCAAGCACATCTTACAAGGTTTACCCAGACTTATTCTAAGAACCAATGGTGGGCCAACAGCTACTACAAAAACAAATGGACAGGAGAATTATTGCTAGCCTAAGCGAAATCAGCGTTCTTTTTTCACACTAGGCTCAACAGAAACCATGTGTCTCCTAAACCAGTGGTTCTTAACCTTGGGTTACTCAGGTGTTTTTGGACTACAACTCCCAGAAGCCTTCACCACCAGCTGTGCTGGCTGAGGTTTCTGGGAATTGCAGTTCAAAAAGACCTGAGTAAACCAAGGTTAAGAACCACTGTCCTAAACTACTTCAGCATTTCATATAACAAATGAGTAGTAGAAGACATTTCTAGCAAGCCACTGATGCCACCTTTTGTATATCAAAACTGAATTACGGCACTTGGGTGACAACAGATGAAGGCAAAGCAACTGGCCTGCTACATCTCAGCTATTTTGAGCAAAGGTGGTCAGTCATGATATATAGTTTTCTTGACAAGTTAAAATGGTCAAACATGAAAGGTAGTACTGGTGGGCAAGCCTTAGCAAAAGTATTCTTTATATTGCTACAGCTGAAGAACTTCACAATCGGGATAAGGCGACCACCCAATCTAATGCAACTTGGCCACAGTTGTATAAAAGCAACCAATGCTTTGGTATCCTACATTTCAAAAAGAAATAAAACAGAACACTATGCCACAAATTTCCTCCTACCATCACTTCATTACCCAGTCATGTCAGCTGACTCCTCCTACTATGCTATCATATCTCCACTTCATGTGGTTTGCATTCATCTAGTAGCTAATGACTACTGGATGATAGGGACGAGCCACCATCAAACTGAAAGCAGGAGCTTTGAAGAAAAGTGGAGCAACAGTCTCAACAACAACCTGCTGCAGATACTTATCCGGACAATGCAAATTTAGAGTCAAATATGGGGGAAATTGTGTAAACAGATGGAGAAATGGACTGGAAGGCAGTGACAATATTCCAGACTTTGGCTTTAATTTTCCAATTAAAATTGCCAGTAAGGAAGAAGAAAAAGCTTTTACACAGAAAGGAAAACACCATGTTAGACAGCATATCGCCATTAGAACAAATTACCTGGACAAGCCATGCATCTTGTTGAATGCTCCACCACACTCAGAAATAAAACATGCAACGAAATGTCTTGTCATGGCACAGAAACTGAAGCTGAAGATCATGTCCTCTTGCATATTTTGTTTGAGTGCAATCCCCATCAACCTTAACCAGCATAGCCAGTAGGATTTGTAGTTCAACAACATCTGGAATGCCAAACATTACTCACCCCAGTGATGGAAAAACTACCTACAAGTGACATGGCTTTATATTCTATTCATTTCAAGACCTAGCACCTGTGTCATTGACTAGGGTTCTGCATGGATACTGAGCTATCTGAAGGGAATAGACTCCATAGGGCAAGTGGTTTTTGTCCCCTCACTTCCAACTATACATAGCTACTAATGGATGTTTCTTTTGACACAAACCTTAATGTTTGCCTCTGCCCTATAACAAAAACGTGTTAGGAGAGGTTCATATAACCATTCTATCATGAATGACGAGGCTAAGAAGTTAACTGGCCAGCTGGCCAGAAAGGCACATAATAGAATGTAAAATAAAGAGTGTTACTTGTAGATAGCAAAAAAATAACGCACATAAGAACTTACATGAAGAAAACACAGAGTTAGGCTAACAAGAAAAGTTGACAACGGAGAAGGTGTGAGCAATCTAATGATGCTTCACAGTTGCACCACTGCACAGTTAATTGCTCATTACACTTCTGAAGCTGCATTGTTTCCAGGACCCACTGCTTGAGCTGGCCAATCCATTCACAAAAGTACTCACTCCCTGCTAGTAGATCTTGAGGCACTGGTTCAGAAATTAATGCCCTGTGAAGTACATGCCCAATGCAGCATGCAGACTCAATTGCTCAAGAACATTAAGGCCTCCAGTGGTTATATTATACTACCCAATACTTATGTCTGTTTGCACAGAAGCCTAAACGCCTCAAAGGCTGTTGCACCGTAACACAAAATGAATGACATTTCATTTAATTTTTATCAACACTCCTCAGTCCCTTTCCTCACACCTCTCAAAGTTTCAGGAAGAACTTTGTGCAAATGCACAAATAAAGGAATCAGCAAAAAGTCCCTCAATTGATACCATCTAACATCGGCAAACTGTCCTCCTCTCTAAAAAGCCATCAATTTGTGCCAGTGTCGGCCAAAAACAAATTAAATGGCTGCTGGGACAATGCATTACCACAATATTTTAGTTTTGGAAGAGGTAGTCATGTTATTCTGTGTAAGCCTATCATCCTGTAGAGTATTTTATTTTTGTTCCATATGTCAGAAGAAATGGACATGGTGTACAAAAGCTTACACTAAAATATAATAGTAAGTATTATGAAAAGTATTATAAAAGCCACGTTCTTTCGTTTTTTCCTTTTGTATTTTGTTTCTTTTTTCTCTTTAGATAAGAAGAAGAAGAAGAAGAAGAAGAAGAAGAAGAAGAAGAAGAAGAAGAAGAAGAAGAAGAAGAAGAAGAAAAGAGAAAGACCTGACATGAGATAGATTGAATCAATACAGGAAACTAGAGTCTTTTGTTTGCAAAATATGAACAGGGCTATCAGTGACAGGAACTTTAGTTAGCAATTAATTTATAGAGTTGCCATAAGTCAGAAGTGACTTCATAGCAAATAGCAAAGTTTTTCTATTTTATTACTTTTTTTCTATAATGAGGACCTGAGGCTACTCCCATTTAAAAACCATTAGGTGCATTCAGGCCTAATAATTTCCCTTTTTTAATGGACAAATCATTTTTGTAATAGAAACTAAATTTGAGGCTTTTCACGGAATGGGGGTATTACAGTAACTAACTATTCCTAGATGCTGCTCCTCTGGAGAAATATGCATCGAGATTAGCCCAGAGCCCCTCCATAACTGTACTCCAGCCTGAGAACTAAATATGTCCAGGGTTTCTAATCTCCTCTTGGGAAGCTGGAGAAGACAGCAAAGTTGTGAGCTCAGGGACATGTTAAGGCGCGGTATGTGCAGGATCAGAGCTCCAGAAAGGTTATACCCGTCCGAGTGAAATGTGAGCGCTGCTAACGCCAGCTCCCATACATACCCCAGTCCATAAATCCAGACTCCTTGCACATAGAACGGCTGCCTTAGAGGGCACTCCCTTCCCGACTGCCCTTACACGTTGCCCCGATTCCACAGGCAGAAAGTCAAGCCCTCTCTCCCTCCCTCTGCCCCTTCTAGCCCAGCTCCCAGGACAGAACCTGAGGTGCATTGCTGGGTAGGAGCGTAATCGCCTCTCTCACCGACCCCCCACCCCCCACACACACACACTTCGGCACCGCTCTTTCCCGGCACCTCCTGCTCTCGGCTCTGAAATAGAAAGCGCCTTCAAAGGGGCACGCGATGGCAAACTTACCCACTCCAGCACCTTAATGAATCCCAGGGGCTCCTCCAGCCGGCCCCATCGCAGCCCCGAAAGCAGCTGGGCCTGGCGAGGAAAGCAGAGGGGG